ATCTGACTTTACGTTTTTTGTAATTCAAACATTGAAAGTTCATGTCAAGGTTGTTTGGTTGTTTGGGGGCTTTATGGTTTAGGGTTTTTATTTTTGGGTGGGGGCGGGGGAAGTGAATAATATGATTGAGCAATTCTATCACGACACACAATATCTTATGTTTATACTATAACACGAAGTCCACGCTGTAACAATAATATCATTACGTAATCTTTATTGAATATTGGATATCACTTTAACGATTATAATGTAATCTTTCATTTCTAATAATTTAGACGTTAAATCATGTTGAAATTCAATGTCATGTTGGAATAGACTTCACATGAAGGTTATGGGCATAAAAGTAAATTAGAATTTTGTGTCATTCCATGATGTCCACTCATATCTTATATTTGTACTTAACAAGACATACACATTGTAACAACCAATTTTTTTTGGTATACCAACAATGTCATCATGTAAGCTCAGAAATATTATGTGACATATTTAACGGTCAAGATAATTCAAGTTAATTTATTACATCAAAGAATACCAATTAGGATTAAGAAAAGAATAGTACCCATAGAACATTCCTTATTTTATTGCCATTTTATATCCGATTAGCCACTCTCATGGCTGTTAGAAATCAATGTCATTTGGGTCTAGTTTGAGTGAATGGCTGTTGGAAATCATTGTCATTTGGGTCTAGTTTGAGTGAATGGATTTGTGTTTGGGCCAAGTTTAAATGAAAATTTTCATATTCGGCCCAGTAACTATTAGGGCTCATTTGGATATAGGTATTTGTTTAGAGAATGAATAAAATTTAAAAGGATTTGATTACAACACTTACATGTATTTACTACAATTAATATCTCAATTGTTAGATAGCGATTATATTCCATGCCTATATGATAGCGTTAGTGGAAGAAATTGTTAGTTGCTGAGAGGAAGGGAAATTGGTGGGGATCGATGACACACCCGACCCTAATATACTCCAAAACACCAGGGTACACACATGCTGGCCGACACCCGAATGTGACGAAGCCATATTAGAAAGCATGAGAACAAGAATTATGAAAAAAATAATAAAAATTTAAATATAATTTATATGCATTCAAGAAACGTGTTCAGAGCATACAACTAATCTAGAACACTAAAAAGGAATAATATAAAATTCAACAAGAGAAGGGTCATACACCAAGAGGACTCGAAGATGCCTATGTGGAAGTGTCTTGACGCTGGGATTGTACGCCTCGATTCTAAGTCATGAGTGTACCAAGTTGATATATATATATATATATATATATAGTACTAAAACAGTTATCAACATACTAACCCCCAAAATTTTATGAAAACTAATAGCATAATAAGTGGTAGGTTTTCCAAAAACCCTAGCATGCCATAAAACATCTCATAAAACACATATTGTATATAGTGTGCTAAATAGTGGTATTCAATAATAATATCTTCTGACCCACAACCAACACCATGTCTCTTGACCCGAAGCCAGAGATTATTTTATCACAACCTAATGCCAGCTCCATGTCCTCTCGGCCCGAAGCTAGGATTATTTCTCCCGGCCCGCAGCCAACAACCATAATCCTCGCCCGTGGCGGTATAGTGGCCACTAGATAAGCACAAAACCATAGAATATAGACTTTCCAAACATAGGTATATATATCTCAAAAACATCTTCATAGTATAAAGTCATCCACCATTTATACTATAAAGAAGTGTGTAAAACCATATTCTAAATAGTATATTGTCATCCATCAGATATCCTATAAAGAACATGGGTTTGATAGAAAAATATGGTATTCCAAAATATTCTAAGCAAGCGTAATATCTCGTAAAACGTTTCATAAAACGTAATCATTAAATCATGCTTTTCATGTATGCATTTTTACTATTAAAACTTTCATTTTAGAAGGGGTCCATTCATAGATACTCCGTCGTCATAGAGCCGTACGAAATAGGAATGACGAAATCGCTGCTAATATTCGCACCTAAGCACATAAACGTACAATTAATAAAACGCAATTCAAACGATTGAATTTGAGAAAACGAACGTCAAAAATGGATTTAGGACATTGAATTACCCTAAAAAAGGTCCTGAGTAAATTTTGAAAAAGTCAACTGGAGAATATTCCAAAGAATATTCTCTTAAGTGGGTTAAACGGGCTGGGTTAAAGGTTGGGTCTTACAGGGTTTTGGGTTAGGGTTTTAGCGGGCCAAAGGCCCAATGTTGTTCACGGCCCAAAGACCTTAGTCTAGAAGGATTTGGGGTTTTAAATCAATGGGCCACAGGGGAGTAAATCATGTAAGCCTTATATGTATATTCTCATCTCGACCTAAGATGAGGTATTTTGGGAGTTCATTGGCTTTGGGTTCCGTCGGAACTCCGAAGTTCAGCGAGTTCGCGCAAGAGCAATCCTATATTGGGTGACTCACTGGGAAGTTCTCGTATGAGTTCCTAAAAACAAACTGTGAGGGTGTGGTGGGGGCCCAAAGCGAACAATATCATGCTACGGTGGAGTCGAGTCCAGGATGTGGTGAGGGCTCGAGCTGGGATGTGACAATTTGGTATCCGAACCAATCCCTGGTTGGAAATGTGCTGATGAGGATGTCGGGCCCCTAAGGGGGGTGGATTGTTACATCCCACATCGACCAACAGAGAGGGGGTGATGTGTCTTATATGTACATGCCCACCTCCATATAGCACAAGGCATTTTGGGAGCTCATTGGCTTCGGATTCTGTAGGAACTCCAAAGTTAAGCGAGTTCGAGTGAGAGCAACCTAGGATAGGTGACCCACTGGGAAGTTCTTGTTTGAGTTCCAGAAACAAAACCGTGAGGGCGTGGTTGGGGCCCAAAGTGGACAATATTGTGCTATGGTAGAGTCGAGCTTGAGATGTGGTGGAGGGCCCAGGGGCTGGATTGTAACATCCCACATCGCTCAGGGGAGTGGATCCTGTAAGTCTTATATGTATATTCTCATCTCTACCTAGCATGAGGCTTTTTAGGAGCTCACTGGCTTCGGGTTTTGTTGGAACTCCGAAGTTAAGCAAGTTTGCGCGAAAGCAAAATCATGATGGGTGACCCACTGGGAAGTTCTCGTGTGAGTTCCCAGAAACAAAATTGTGAGGGTGTGGTAGGGGCCCAAAGCGGACAATATCATGCTTCGGTGGAGTCGAGCCCAGGATGTGGTGAGGGCCCGAGCTGGGATGTGATAATTTGGTATCTGAGCCAATCCCTGGTAAAAAATGTGCTGATGAGGATGTCGGGCCTCTAAGGGGGGATTGATTGTTACATCCCACATCAACCTACAGAGAGGGGGTGATGTGCCTTATATGTATATGTTTACCTCTATATAACACAAGGCCTTTTGGGAGCTCATTGGCTTCGGGTTCCGTAGGAACTCCGAAGTTAAGCGAGTTCGCGTGAAAGCAACCCCAGGATGGATGACCCACTGGGAAGTTCTCATGTGAGTTTCTAGAAACAAAACTGTGAGGCGTGGTCGGGGCTCAAAGTGGATAATATCGTGCTACGGTGGAGTCGAGCCCGGGATGTGGTGGAGCGCCCGGGGGGTGGATTGTAACATCCCACATCGCTTAGGGGAGTGGATCCTGTAAGCTTTATATGTATATTCTCATTTCTACCTAGCACGAGGCTTTTTGGGAGCTCATTGGCTTCGGGTTTCGTTGGAAGTCCGAAGTTAAGCAAGTTTGCGCGAGAGCAAAATCATGATGGGTGACCCACTGGGAAGTTCTCGTGTGACTTCCCAGAAACAAAACTGTGAGGGTGTGGTAAGAGCCTAAAGCGAAAAACATCGTGCTACGGTGGAGTCGAGCCCGAGATATAGTGGGGGCCCAGGTCGGGATGTGACACCTTAATTTATTTTGATTTATTTAAAATAAAGGTAAAAAATAGACAAGAATGTGTAAGGAAACCAAACCATTCTTAAACATGTTCCAAGTTGAGGAAATACTTACAATCTTAGCACATTAATGAAATATGCGGTCAACATGTAAAAAGTTAATACACGTAACATCATGTTGTTTGTCCAATGTATCACGACAACCTAAAAACATCTTCAAAGAAAATATCAAATTTTAAATATAAAATTAAAATTTGACAGCATGTTGCACTTTGACATCTTTTTAAGTTTGGTTCTTCATCCGATATGTCAAATTAAGAATATTTAATAACAACTAAAATAATAATAATAAGTAATTTTAGAACAAAAAATAAAAAGCATTTAATAATTCAATTGAAAATAATTTGTTGCCCATTTTTGTGGCAAAGGTGATGACGGCCAATCCCCATACCACATCAAAATTAATTTTTCAGTTAAAAAACACTATTGCTGTTTTTTTTTTTTTTTTTTTATACTGTTACTATGAATTTGGGCTTTTTGACAATCTTTGGAGATGCTGTAACGGCTGTAATCTTGTAGGTGGGCCTTGGTCACAATGTGGCACACTACATCAAACTAAAGTATTTGGATTTGGGCCTAGCCCGCCAAGGGACGTGGGCAAATACATCACCAGAGAGCTTCCAGACCCTGAGCTGACGCTTTACACGTGTCAATACCTGAGAGAACTCAACCAAGATCCTTCCTCCAAAATCTCGCCGTTGCACGGGAAACCGAAAACGCAAACAATTTGATCACTTCACTCCACGTGTGCGGACGAATGTTTCAAACCAAAAGAAAACACTCTCAAGCCGCCGCACATCCGACATCTTCGTCCACTGCGCGACACGCGTCACTTGTTAATTTGAAGAATGTATAACATTTACTGCGCAAGGACACGCGTCGGAGCGAGAAAAGCCCGGGACACGGATTTGGATTAGAGCGCCAACCACATATATTTTTGCTGTCCGTTTTTCCCATTTATTTAATTTTTAAATTTTTGGATGAAAAGGAGTTTTGTGAGATTAGAGAAAAGCAGGTCGCGAGGTCTAAAATTGGCAAAAGCGCTTTTTGCCACCGAGAATTGAATAAGAAACGCACAATTTTTTATGGTCTGTTTGGGAAGGGCAGCGATTATAGAGAGTAGAATTCTGGTTTTTCACGCGGAGAAGGAGCAGAAGCCAAACAACAACCTCAACAGGAAACAACCAATCCCGCCGTTGGTCGAATCGGAGGAGCTCCAATTCCGGTTCAAGTCATCATCTCCACCTCCGCCGGCGTCATCAGCATTGTTCTTTCAAGCCACAAGACCACCGCCGAAGAAGCAGCAGAAAATGGCGACGGATCGAGGCAGCGGCTTGTCATCGTCGTCGACGTTGATGTTGACTTCTGGAGCGAGCGGCCGCATAAACGCCCTCTTCTCGCTGCAGGTGCTGCGGAGTCTGATGATGCTGATTAACGCCTTCTTCCTGCTCCTCCTGCTCCCATTTCGCGGCCGCAAGCGAGCGCCGTTGTCGTCCGCCTCTTCGTCTGCGGCGGCGGCTTCGCCTGTCTTGGCGGAGAAGTCGGCCAAGGACGAGAGGCAGCCGAGGGTGCCGGTGGTGCGGGTGCCGACGAAGATAGTGCCGTGGAAGTGCAGCTCGTCATCGCCGGTGGACCAGGAGGCGGCGGCGAGGAGGGCGTTAGCAAAGCTAAGAGTTGTACAAGATGATGATGAGAATTCGGTCAGGCAATATTCGCTCTTTGCGACTGCGCGAGGTGAAACTCTCTTCACGCAGAGTTGGACTCCCGTTTCCGTTAACATCAGGTAAATCAAATGCCTCTGTATTACATTATCCCCTTGGATTGGATTGTTTAATTTGAATTAATGCAAAAAAGGTGTGAAATTTTCGTTACTTCTTGAAGAAAATGATGAAATTTCCGTTGTTTTAATTCAAAATTGCGGCAATCAGTTAAATGCAGAAGAAATATGCTTTCTGGGATTGAAAGTTTCAGTGATTTTTTCCCTTTCAATCTTGATCGAGGTTGACTACACATCGTTCTCCAAGTAGTAATCTTTTTATTATCGGATTTTGGTGCTCGAAAAGTGGCAATTGTTAGTGTAGATTAATGAATGAACAGATAGATCATATGTGTTTTATCTTCTTGATTACATCGCTGTCGTTTTGAATTAGTTAGGCTCATGTTAATTAATTTCTTTAGTTTGTCAGTTTGTGTTCACTGGGTGCGCTCATAGACATGGCATATTCTAACATATCCCTGTACCATCGGTATTAACCTTAAACTGCGTATTACGCATATGATAAGGACCTTCCCTCAAGGATTGCAATACCCGAGTATAGTTGGCAATCTTTTTGTGGTTGTTTGTTAGCCAAATATCCCTTTCATGAGGACCCGTTGCTTTCTTGAGGTCCCGTCTCTAATCTCTTGTCCTTACACCCACACGATAATTGCAATTTGCAATGGTTATGCAGTGAACCTGGATTTGCAGAAAATGCACATCTTGTTCATTTCCTCTCCTCTGCCTACTATGGCATAATAAGTTGGATCATATTGCAGGGACCATTTAGAGCATTGTCTATAATCTTTTAAGAGTAGCTAGATGCAGTGAAACCAGATTTAAAATTGATCGGGCGTGGGCAAGTCAGGCAAATTTGCTTGTGGCGAGTCTGGTTCTGCAGTGACTTTGCACAAGTTTCTGACGAATTATTTAAGCTAAGGTTCACCACTTGGGAATTCTTGCATATGAACTATTCTTTTAAAATGTTAAATGATAATGCCAAGAAGCATCTGTTGACTTACATAGTCCATACCCTAAATTCTAATCCGGTAACATGATATACTAATTGGTAAGAGAACATTTCCTTTGCGACGAGTATATTTGTTAGAATAATTGCTAAAGGAGAGTAACATTCTCTCCTACCATATATCTGACAAGTCATGTTAATCAGACTGTTAATATATTTGGATTTTACATTCAAACACGGATCTACTTAATCCATAGTTTTGGTTGCAAAGGTATGTAGTCCAAATTTATATCAAAATATGTTTGTAATTGCAGGTTATCTTCTTAGTTCGTATGAGTCTTATCCTCGAAGTGCATATTCACTTCTTTTTTCTTCATATTCTTACTGTATTAAGTAGCTAAGTTTCTCATATTCAAACTTTGCAGGGGCGTAGTTATTCTTATGCATGGTCTGAACGAACACAGGTTTGTCATTTCTACATATTTCTCACTTAAATTCTATTCAGCTGATTATGAGGTGCCTTGATATATCTATTAAGACTTCTGTACAATTTCACCAGTGGAAGATACAGCGACTTTGCAAAGCAACTGAATGCTAATGGATTTAAGGTTTACGGAATGGATTGGGTTGGTAAGTCAACACCATCTTGAACTTTTACCATTGCATTTAAACTTCTTAATTAGTCTAAAGGGTCTCTGTTTTCGTTCTTGAGTATGATACCTAAAGTCTAAGCCAATTAACAACAATTTCCTGTGTATGTCATTAGCAACGTGTAGTCGTAATTGTGTATATTGTTTTTGCCACAAGTGTGTCACGTTTTGTGTCATCATGATCAAACTTCGAGGCAAGCATTTTGGATGCTATACAACAGATTGAAATATGAGATAGATCTATATAAACGCGATGCTTGAGAGTGGCTGAAAGATTACTTTTAAAGTTTCTGTGGAAGGAGAAGAACCTTAACATTTTAGATAAGGATGAAGTTGTCTCTCAAAAAATTTTAAAATCTCACCCTTGTAGTCGAGGCTGTCTTCTTTTTTATTTAATTGCTGTTTTCATAGAGTAGAGATCACTTTCTTCAACAATGCATCTATATTTGGATGTTGCAGGAATTTAGTTTGGACGCCCATTGGTGCGAAAAAGTAAACCCTTGAAGCTCCCTTTATAAGTAAGCTTATTATATGTGTGTTTGGGTCTAACCTTGTATGTTTCTCATAAGTTATGCGTCTGATGCTTCTATCAAGTGGAAAACATTCTCATAAGTTACGCGTCTGATGCTTCTATGTAATGAAAAATATTCAAACAACATTATAGAATGGTTTAAGTTGAACTTAAAGTACATCCCAACGCAAGCATCCAGTCTAAAGTGTGTGACCGTGCAAGGTGGGGTGCCCTTCCAGTTGTAATTATAAGAATTGGAAGATTAAACTTTCTTGCATTTCACTTAAAGTTCACTTGGAAACCTTTGCAATTTCTAGGCTTCTGGGACACTCAATGTGCCAATGACTTTAGTGCTATTTTCTGTACTTCGTTTTTTGTTTAAGTTGCTTCTAGATTGTTTCTGGTGTGTAATGGCTATATGTTGTCGGGGGTTCAAGTCTTATTATGATTTGACGGAAAAGTCTCTGCTTTTTTATTCATTTAACAAAACAATAAAAAAAAATTAGGATCTCTAGTTTTCTTTGTGTTGAAGGATAAGTCGTGAAACTATGGACCTTGGGTTGCTCCATTCCTGTTACATCTCACTGAATCTCTAAATCTTCTGATGTAGTAGTTAATAGTTTTGCATCACATATAATTGTTCTCAGTGATTTATCTATCTAGGTCATGGCGGGAGTGATGGGCTTCATGCATTCGTACCTTCTCTCGATTATGCTGTTACTGATATGGTAAGAAAATAGAATCTGAATCCAGTTCTTAATGCTGACCTGAAGAACCTAGGAACTCTGGATTGATTAAACCTTTACATGTCTTCGCTCTTTATTTTGATGCAGAAATTATTTCTCGAAAAGGTTTTAGCTGAAAATCATGGCCTACCGTGTTTCTGTTTTGGGCATTCCACAGGTGCAGCCATTGTCCTTAAGGTATGGGTTGCCGGAAGCCATTTCTTTCTTGGAATTGCATGAATGACTTTCTTCGTAGTTACAATTTTGTTGTCTTCTGTGATTCTACCTATTCATTAACTTCATCAGCCTGGAATTCGATCTGAGCTGACTCTATATTGCAAAAATGATTTTAGGCAATGCTTGACCCAAAATTTGAGTCCCACATAGACGGTGTAGTGCTCACATCACCTGCAGTTGGGGTTCAGCCTTCGCATCCAATATTAGTGGTCAGAAAACCATCTTTTGCTACGACTAATGTTTATGCACTCTTGAATATATATACTCAATTACAAGTTTTCAAATGCACCCTAAACCCCTAACCCTCACCGCGCTTTCCTCCTTTTATCATGCCAGGTAATTGCTCCCATTGTCTCATTTTTGCTGCCAAGATACCAAATCAGTGCAGCAAATAAACAGGGCATGCCAGTTTCTCGTGACCCGGCGGCTTTAGTTGCCAAGTATTCGGACCCTCTAGTGTACACTGGATCCATCCGCGTGAGGACTGGTTATGAGATTCTCCGAATCACATCCTACTTGCAGCAGAACCTAACCAAATTGACGGTACCCTTCTTCGTTCTCCACGGAACAGCGGATACTGTTACTGACCCCGAGGCCTCCCAGAAGCTGTACGATGAAGCCTCCTCAACTGACAAAACCATCAAACTGTTTGACGGGTTCGTACATGACCTTCTCTTTGAGCCAGAGCGAGAAGCCATTACGAAGGATATCATTGACTGGTTGAATCACAGAATATGAAGCAGCTAGGTAGTGCAGCAGTGGGACATGAAGATTGATAAGTTATGGGACGAAAAGGAAAATGGATCGATCGATACGAGTGACCATTTTTGTGGAAGCAGAATATGGAAAAACCCAAAATTTATTGTGGCTAAATAAAAACTCAGCATATTGTGTTGAAACTTGAAACATCGTGACATTGTTTTCTTGTTGGGTATTTTAAAGATTATCCGCCGTTATGAAAATGAGGTTGATCCAAAATTCATTATTTTCGTGTCGTTTTAAATCGGATTAACAGGTCGTGTAAGAAATTATTAGATCCAATATCATGTAATTTTGTTAAATGCTTCTTTCTCCTAGTTCATATGTTGCTTGAAAACTCGCGTGATGAAGAATTTAAGCAGGATGTGGTTTTCCACATTTCAACCAGAATTCCTGGCTCACCCGAGACCAAATCTGCCCCAGTTATGATATAAGTATTTATTTTCTATTGTTTTCTTTACCTAGTTTTAGAAGGTGAAGCAAAACTCGTGTATTTTTTAACTTCCGATTTCGAGGAGGTTTATGAACGCCGTGAGTTGTGAGTTGTAAACTCTCATGTTTTTTGTCAAGGTGGTGAAGACTGATTTATGTCCTTGCCATCAAAGAAATTATTATTATTATTTTCGGGTTCTTGTCTAGGAAAGAATTTTTAGTGTGATCGGAACACGGGACTGTACATCACGTATCACTATGCCAATGGTGGGGATATGTGTGTTAAAAAGTTAATAACTTAACAAATACAAATTCCCACTACTTATATAAAAACACGTGGTGTACCATCCGTGTTTCGGTCAAGACCCCACATCTTAGTTATTTATCGTGTATCGTGTCGTCAAAAATCATTTGACTTTTTTTATATTTAAAAATAAACACAAATAATATCTGACGAAAAACTGATTGCACGATGTACGATGAACGGTTAGGATGTGATAGGATCCCCACAAAATGAATCCAGAGAGAATCATTTTCCTAAACTGTGGGTCATTTAGTGTATGATTACTTAAAGAACAATGATTAGCCACGCTTTCTAATGGAGGAAACACTGACAATTATATGATTACATAATTACTCGAGTGAGAGAAATAGAGGATTAATAATTTTCTAATGTAATTATGGTGTTAATAATTGAAAGAGAGCATAGCAATACAAGTAGGGGACCATGAAAATATTCGTTTTGGGAAGCACAAGTGTCGAAAGAGTTGTTAAGTGGTTTGACGTTCTACTAGTGGAAAGTTGAAACCGTTGCTTTCTAACTTCTGTTTTATTCCCATAAAAGGATTTAGTTATTCCTTTGAAATATTGGTAATGAACTGCTCATTTGTACACTTCCATTGTCCATATATAGGTCAATGTAATATATATATTTATATACACAACCGACCAATGTCTATTGTATTGATTGTTACGTGACCGCGTTTAACTATATAACACTTTTATAAAATGAAGCCAAAATGAGGCAAATACATCGAACTCTAAACAATCACCAGCTACCTGATGAATATGTGGTCATGAAACGGTCAATATGAGGTTACTACTAAGTCTGTCATAACCTATTAACATATACAGAAATATGAAAATTGTTGAAAATGCTGATGGGTAGAGAATGCCCACAATGTTTTGGTGGAGTTTTTCAATGCCCTCACAGATTGGCTTTTAACATTTGCATTGTTTATGACTAAACATATACATTGTCAATTCCCTATAACAGTTTGAAAACTGACTTTGGGAATTCAGGATATCATTTTGTCAAAAAGTGTGTTGTAAATTTCAAATGTAGTAATACGAGTTGCTCTATAAATAAAGCACTCGACTGCAATCAAAAGATACAGAAAAATATAAGAAGAAGAGAACGAGAGAAAAATATCAGCAACATCATCTATTTCTCTGTCTTTATTTGTTATCCTCTCGTGCTATATTTTTAGTGTGACATTTTACATCTACCTTGCACCTACCATTAAAAATGTTATCTCTCTAACTTTGACCTATATATAACAAAAATATGATTGTATGAATGTAATCGAATGAAAAACAGAAGAACTCTAGAGAGAGAGAGAATGAATCTTTGAGAGAGACTTTTGTATTGATTTCAGACTGGTAATTACAATGAAGCAAGCACATATTATACAGCTTGCAGTAGCTTACTTATAACAATTCTAACCAACATAACAAACTAACTGTCAATAGCCTAACTGAACTGCTAGCTAAGTTGTCATTGCTAATTAATGTCAGCATAACCCCCTCCGACCGGAGCGTGATACCTGCTATGAAGTTCATCCACTATATGCAGTCCACCAAGTACCTCCTGAGAATCCCAGCCCATCCATACCCAATTATCTGCAACAAATCACCAAAACCCAGAATTTAAAATTTATTCACATGCAATCGACTTTTTAGAGGTGATCTAGCTCCACAAAACAGAACATAATACATGATATGTAATTTATATTATTGGTATATCATGTTAATTGGTGTTAATATGAAAATTATTTATGTGTGTCGATGTGTCGATATTATAAATATTCTCACACCGGTACACCACATTATCAATACGTTGTCAATCATCTATTGCTCCACGAACATAAAATACCGCTTAATAAGCTTCATGTATATTATATTTGATTCTTTTGCAAATTATTGCTTTCAAGTGCCTCTTATGATGAAAACGTGTTTGAGGTACAATTTGTCCAAAGAACTTTATTAGATAAAAATAATAATATTGAATTCTGAGGTTAAATTGTTATATATTATGCAGAAAACACCCATCGTTAATTCAAGTGCTTTATTTTTTTCTCCTTTTTCAATGAACCTGTCATCCAATCAAGATTTTGTTGCCTTGTTCAATTGGTTCAACAGACAAAATGCTAACTGACATTGAGGTTGAAAGCCATTACAATGGAACACACACACACACACACACAGTCTTTAATGGAAGGGACTCTTCCATTTTTTTTTTCCAAAAAATAGAAATTAGTTGTGGGGCACACATCACAACAAACTTCAACGATTCGAATTGTTTATTTTTCAAGTTGCGCCTTACATATCATACTTGCAAAATATTAGCTAAATCGGAAATATTTGAGGTATCTAATTGAGTTCAAAGAAATTGATGAACACTATGTTATAAGAAATATTAAAATTTTATTGTAATAGTTAAATGAGCAAATGGTTTCAGATTGAATTAAATTTGTACAAGGGGTGTGCTATCCACACACCCCATTTTACTTCTCATACATCCCTTAATAATTTTTGTCCGTTGGATCTTCTTCAATTTATCCGATCCAACGGCTGAAAATTAAAAAGGCATGTGAGAAGTAAAATGGGGTGTGTGGATATCACATCCCTTTGTGCAATGATGATCTATGGATCAAGACTTACAAAATAGACAGTTTAGATTGTTGAAATTTGATATGAAGCAGATCCCACCATTAATCCTCATTTAAAAAAATGGAGATCTCTTTGCTTAAAGAACTTGTATATATACATATATATACATGAATTAATTTAATCGGTTAATCTCAGTTTACTACTCTAAAGTTTTTTTTATTTTCAACATTTAGTACATGAAGTTTTTTTCATCTAGAGAGGTACATAAAGTTATAATTTTGAGACATTTTTATACATCTGTTAAGATTGCTGTTAAACTTGTCGTTAACTAATGAAATGACATTCACGTGGACAATGACTAGACGTCACGTGGATAATAAAAATAATAAATACTAAAAAAATTTTGAGCATCTTCTGCCTTTGACTTGGATTGTCCGCCCTTTCCATCGTATACTTCTGTGATCACGGTTAAATCAGTTAAAATTTTATATTGATTTTTTTTATAGAAATAATAAAATAAAAAGTAATGGGACTGGGGAGGAGGGCAAACAATCGAAGTCGTTCTCCCTCACCACTTCCCCTTCCGATGCCGCTCCCTTCTCTCCTCTGCACCCACCTTCCCCCTCCCTCCTCGACTCCACCCACTCTCTCTCTCTCTCTCTCCACATCCTTCTCCTCTGACATTAAACTGCTAGGAACCTCTGTCTCTCCTCTCTCTCTCTTCTTCTAACCCACTAGGCACTCAAAGCAGAGGCAGCAAGGAACCAGCTCATGGTTGTCTTCTAAAAAGCTTCCATCTTTCCGACTCCAAGAAGCTCAAAAACTCACTGAATTTTCAAACCCCACAGAAAACCAAGTCATGGGTTGCTGTGAATCCAAAGTTTCAGAGAACCAACAACCAAAGAAAATCCAAACCCAGCATCTAGCTCACAACAGCCGGACCCCGACCCACCACACGAATCCCACCTCCGGATCCGACCCGGAAACCGGCGGAGCCCTAATCTTGTTTACAAGGGCCGGCTGCAGAACCGCCGTTGGATCGCCGTCAAGAACTTCACCAAGATGGCGTGGCCTGATCCCAAGCAGTTTGCGGTGAACTTGGCTTTTGTGCTGTTGCTTCATTTGGGTTTTTGGTATATTTTGGTGGGTTTTCAATCGTTTTGTGAATTGGGTCTATGAATGATTTGTGGATTTTGGTTTTGCAGAAGGAAGCTTGGGGCGTGGGGAAGCTGCGGCATCGGCGACTTGCGAATTTGATTGGGTATTGCTGTGATGGGGATGAGAGATGTGGGAGGGACAGAGAGAGAGATGGAGTGGGTGGAGTCAAAGAGGGAGGGGGGAAGGGTGGGTGCTGAGGAAAGAAGGGAGTGGGTCCGAAGGGGTGAGGGAGAAGACGCTCAAAATTTTTTATTTATTTAATGTTTTTAGTTTTTATTAATTAATTTATTTTTTAATGTCCACTTGGCGTTCAGTCATTATTCACATGAATGCCATGTTATTAGTTAACGGCAAATTTAACAATAACCTTAACAAATGTATGAAAGTGTTCTAAAATTATAACTTTATGTACCAATCTGGGACTAAAAAAACTTTATGTACCAAATGTTGAAAACCAATAAACTTTAGGGTAGTACATTGAGATTAACCCTAATTTAATTAATCCATATGTGTTATGATAATTAATCAATTCATGGTTAATATGATCTATCACTAATGTACTTTTCAGAATTTAAATGCATGCTAATGGGACTCTCCATTAAGTCTATTGAAATTGACTCTGTACGAATGAAATCTCATTATTCATACATAACAACTTAGTGTGATATATTCATAGCATAACATATGAACCGTAAGAACTAGCATTCTTTGAGACTAGAACTCATTTGGAAGAAAATA